CGGCTCAGGGCGGCTATGCGGCCATTCAACCTCTGAACCTCCTTCAACTTCCGGGGTGGTCTCATATCTAAGATGGCCTTAATCTTATCCGGGTTGGCTTCAATGCCGTGCCGGTTAACGATGTACCCTAGGAACTTGCCCGAGGTCACACCGAATACACACTTGTTTGGGTTCAATCTCATATTAAACTTACGCAGAATTTTGAAAACATAATGCAAGTCTTGTATTAATTCATGCGAAAATTAAGTTTTGACGACCATGTCGTCTACATAGCATTCTACTTTCCTGCCAATTAATGGAGCAAACAACTTATTTACAAGCCTTTGAAAGGTTGCCCCTGCGTTTCTCAACCCGAAGGGCATAACCTTGTAACAGTATAGACCGAACTCCGTGATGAAGGCAGTCTTTTCTTCGTCCGCCGGGTCCATCTTGATTTGGTTATAGCCCGAATAGGCGTCAAAAAAACTTAGCAACTCGTGCCTTGAGGTTGCGTCTACCAAGCAGTTAATTATGGGGAGCGGGAAGCAGTCTTTTGGGCAAACACGGTTTAGGTCGGTGTAGTCGACGCACATGCGCCACTTGCCGTTGGTCTTCTTTACCAAGACGGAGTTGGCTACCCAGCTTGGGTAATGGACTTCCCTTATGAAGTCAGCAACGAGGAGCTTCTCGACCTCCTCGTCGATCGCTTTCCACCGCTCCGGGGCTAGGTTTCGTTTCTTCTGTCTAACGGGCCTAACTACAGGATCAATATTCAACTTGTGAGTTATAAAGTCGGGGTCTATACCGGGCATCTCTGCCGCGGACCATGCAAAAATATCGAGATTTTGAAGTAAGAAACTTACCGGTTTGGATCGTAGAGGACCCTAGACGGAAGTACCGATATGAAGCGTCCGAGCTGGGTTTGCTGCTGAGGTCGGGACTACGACTGTTTCTTCCGTGGGTGCGGCTCGTTCTTCGCCTTGCTCTGTAGGCCGCTCCAGTTCGAGGTCGTCGGCCACCTTGGTCTTTCTCTTCAGGGCGGCGACATAGCACTTGTGAGACTCGAGCTGGTTGCCCCGCGCTACCCCCACACCAAAGTCTGTTGGGAATTTCATAGCCAAATGATAGGTGGAGACCACCGCCCGTAGGATATGGGTGATCGGCCGACCTATTATGGCATTGTATGGGGAGGGGGTCGCAACCCCCGGGAAGTCGTGGTTGAGTCTGACTACGCCGGGCCATGTGCCGACTTCCACAGGTAGTGTTATTTTATCAAGGGGCTGGACTTTCTCCGCTGAAGCCCACCAAAGGAGTGTCCGTGGGCTTCAAGTCACTTTTCTGCAACTGAAGCTGGTCGAACGCAGCTTTGAAGAGGATATTGGCCGAGCTGCCCAAGTCAACAAGTACGCGCCTGACCTCGAAGTCGTTAATTCTCAACTTTATCACGAATGCGTCATCGTGGGGGTAGTAGACCCCTCGCGCATCATCTTCCGTGAAGAGAATTAGCTCTTTTGTCCTCGGCTGCTTTGGAGAATTTTGTTCATCTTGGGTGGCTTCACGAACTGACGTTCGAGCTGCTGTTGAAGTACAACCTGCGACGATCGAACCTCCCACTATTACGTGGATGGTGCCCCGAACCGGCCTCTCTTCCGGAGGCTGCCTCTGTTTTATTATTATTATTTTGTACAAAGTTCCTTAAATATCCGCGACGGATGAGCTCCTCAATCTCGTCGCGGAGGTTTTTGCAATTTTCGGTACTATGACCGTGATCTCTGTGAAAACTGCAATACATATTCTTATTTCTCTCGTTGGGATTTCCCCTCAAACGGGGCATCCGTGATCACCATCAGGATTTCGGCCCACTTCGCATTCAGTGGGGTGTAATCAGTTCGGTCCGCTACAGGAGCTCGGAATGACTGACCCGACTTTGCCCCCCGAGCTGCATCCTTTTTCTTTCAGCTGTCCCCTTGACTGGAAGGCTCTCCTTCCCTTTTCCTCTTTTCGGGCGCACCTCGCCCTTCTGGCTGATCTCTTCTTCGGTGGCTAAAAACCTGTCAGCGAGCTTAAGAAATTCGGTTATGGTCGCCGGTTGGTTGACGACCATGTGCCATTTGAATTCTTTGTGTGTCACGCCTTTCTTGGCTGCTGCGAGGTGCACGGTGGGGTCCAGGCGCGGTATTTGCATGCAAGCATCGTTGAACCGTTTGACATAGTTTCGGATGGATTCTCCCTCTCTCTGCACTATGTTGAGGAGGCTTTCTTTAGTCCGCGGGTGGTCGTGGGTTCGATTCCCACAGACGGTGCCAAATGATGTAGCGCAATCTGGTTACTCCTAGCTGGCACTCACGTTGCTCCTGGAAGATACCTGAGATGGAGAAGAAGTAGAGTTCCCGGTGGGTTACCCAGCGGGAACACTCCAATGCTTAAGTTAGTGCTCTGTAGGAGAAGCAAGGAGAAGACGAAGGCTAAGAGTGCTGATAGCGCGAGTGTAGAAGATGATACCTCATTCTTTGGGAATAGGCTCCTTAAAACAGAATTCCGTTGCATCAAGCCCACTGGCCTCTGACAGGGCAGGTATAACCATCACTGTCAGCCTACCGCAACCGTTACAGGCAGGGTTGAGGTGACTCGCGCGGGGCCGTCATTGCAGGGTACGTGCCTGTCAGGTGTAAGACACCCTCTAAGGTGGTAGGCACGACGTTGTCTGACGAGAGATATGGCTGCTGTCCCCAGATTTGTTAGGTACGGTGGTCGAGCAGGAGATCTTCCTGTGATATGCCGAACTACCCTTTCACAAGTTACCCTATGCTGGGCTATCTCGTGAGCGGCGAGCTGCCTGTGGCAAGCTAAACCGAGTTGTCTGACCCGAGTTGTCTTCATCTCGGGATATTTATAGGCGAATCGGTGTGTTTTTGTCTAGGAGTGGCCCGAGGTTCATTGGGAGGAGCTCGGGTATTAGAAAAGGTCAGGGGACCCCGAGCTCGGGCAGCTCGGGGTGCCTTAGCTATGGGGAGGAGGTGCGGGCCAGGCGGCTCCTGGCGAGCAGTCTATCCCGCCGAGTTGAGGCTGCGCCTGCTGTGCTGTCACGCTGAGTCATCGTTTGAGCAAGGTCACGCCCACGTGTACCCGAGCTACGAGGTTGAACCAAATCACTCTCCATCACACCCTATTTTCTTGTCCATGTGCACAATGGATTAGGCTTGTGTTGTTTGGATTAAACGTGATTATCCTTAGCATCTATAATTAACTATGATAATAACACTTTTTTTTTTTTGGTAAGTATGATATTTACAACTTGGAACTTCAGTTTCAAAATAACAAGAATTAGTTATAAGATAATTAGAGTCAGCTCAATTCTCAAAAAAACGGCAATAAATGTTTCTCAACAACTTTTATTGTTTTTTAAGAAAAGCACCGTACAAAACATTTATTAGATGCTTTAGGACTCAAATCAGAAGTCAGAGTGTTGTTTGGATCCTGGTTTTATTGGTTAACCATATAGTTTAGGGAAAATGACATTCAGAATTTATAGGCTCAAAGTACAGTTGGGGTGGGTGTCCGTTCGAAATTTATGTCAATTCATGGGTGGGCGTTGGTGTATAAAGTGTGAATTTTTTACTTTTTGAATGTTTATAACTCTGCAATGGAAATTAGAAATCTGTATTGGAGGTGCTTATACTTTTCTGAATAGTTTACCTATCCAATTTGCCAAAACCATAATTTAATGGGGACCCAGAAAGGCCATTAATTCATGTTTTGACAGTCCGATCCTAGCCGAATCTTAAAACAAATGTCAATGGAACTAAGCTAACCTTATTCCTCCTCACGTAAAAAATAAAAAACTCCATAGGCTGCATTTGTTTGAGGTAAAAATGTAAATATGTACACTAAAAATCAATCATGCACTGGTTTAGATGAATGCAAATGATGGGGACCAGTGGGAAAAAGAAGATCGGCTTCAGCCAGTGCAAGGCCCGTTCGAACAGTCAGTGCAATGCAAATGATGGGGACCACTGGTTTAGATGAATGCAAATGATGGGGTCCAAATGCCTTGAAAATTTGACGGGGTGTAAAGTTTATCCCAGTTATCATTTACATCTCAAACAAACGCGGCCTCAGTTCTCTTTATCATTTACGATGAATCAACTATCATTTTCAGAAAAAATAAATAAATAAAAAACTATCAAATGACAGAAGAGATGCCCCCACCAATGGATCAGATTTTGTCATTTTGTTTTTGATTTTTGTTTTTTCCAGGCTTTCAGCACCGTTTGTCTATTTTTTTCTTTCTTTATTATTTTTTAAAGTTTAAAATAAAAAACGAAAAGTCGGAAGGAAAAGGGAGCGGGAAGTAGGGAACACCAAAAATTTGCGGCGCGTCACATATTAAAATGACAATATTGTCCTTCTCCTTCTCAGTTTTCGCAGCTCCATGTCTTGGGCCGTGTTGGCCCATGAAATGATGAATCTGAATGTACCGCGTACAGTATCAGGGGCAATTTCGTCCCACAACTAACGAAATGGGGACGGCGGGGGAATTTCAGACAAAGTTTTGAATTTAAGACAGTCAAAGACTCACAGTCTTCATATTCGAGCTAGAAAAGGAGAGAGAGCTTCGGAGAGTCTCGGACCAACTTCCTCCGATTCGTTTCCAAACTTTCCAATCTTTCGATCTAAAACGCTTGCTTAAGCATCCTTCTCTACTGGGTTTTCTTTCTTTTTTCTCTCTTTGATCGATACTACGGTTTAGAGAGAGCTTCGTCCTTCGAAGTTCGAGCACGGCGATGTAGAACAGATCAGCGGTTTTCAAAAGGTACTTTGTTCGGGTGCGTTTTCTTCCTCTCTTCGTTTTAAGGCTTTTAGTTCATTCAGAATCGAAAAGAAAAAACAAGTTATTGATAAAAACTTGCCTATTTGTTTTCTTTCTTGTCTGCTATTTTATCAGTTACAGAGTGAAAGTCGTCTTTGATTCTGCCATTTAAATAAAGCAATTATCTTCTTTTTAAGCTCATCTCGTGTTTTCATCATTGAGGCAGATCCATGTGGGAAAAATCTTTGAAAAGAAACAATCAGTGAGATGAATCGAGATTCTGTAATTGGATTTCTTGAAGAACCCATCCACTTAATTTTCTCAGTTTTTTTTTCTCCAAAAGCTCTACATTTGATTTCTATACAAACCCACATCATTCTTTCAGTTCTTTATGCCACAAACTGCATCTATGCTTTGAAATTTCAATTAAACTAGAAGCTTCTCTGTTGCTTCAGCTGCAAAGATGGGCAGAAATTTGAGTTCAGTACTCCAACAACAGCTAGAGAACCTTGACAAGGATTCAGAGAGTCGAAGATCAGCAATGAAAGCACTGAAGTCGTACGTGAAAGACCTTGATTCAAAGGCCATCCCTCTCTTTCTGGCCCAGGTTTCTGAAACCAAAGAGAACAGTTCATCCGGGGAATACACCATTTCTCTCTATGAAGTCCTTGCCCGTGTCCATGGTCCCAAAATTGTCCCTCAGATTGATAATATTATGTCCACCATTATAAAGACCTTGACATCAAGCCCAGGATCCTTCCCTCTTCACCAGGCCTGTTCGAAGGTGGTACCTGCCATTGCAAGATATGGGATTGATGCATCGACTCCCGAAGACAAGAAGAAAATGATTATACACTCCCTGTGTAATCCCCTGTCCGATTCACTCTTGGGTTTTCAAGAGGGGCTTGCCTCCGGGGCCGCCCTGTGTCTGAAGGCTCTTGTTGATGCTGATAACTGGAGATTTGCTTCGGATGAGATGGTGAATGAGGTTTGTCTGAAAGTTGCAGGGGCTTTGGAGGAGAAGCCTACCCAGACCAATGCTCACATGAGCTTGGTTATGTCTTTGGCGAAGCATAACAGCCTGACAATTGAGGCTTATGCTAGGTCACTCTTAAGATCTGGTCTGCGGATATTGAATGCTGGGGTTGTTGATGGGAATTCTCAGAAGCGGTTGTCATCCATTCAGATGGTGAATTTCTTGATGAAGTGTGTGGATCCTCGGAGTATTTCCTCGGAGCTGGGGACGGTGATTGGGGAAATGGAGAAGTGCAACTCTGATCAGATGGCATTTGTGAGAGGGGCTGCTTTTGAAGCGCTGCAGACTGCAAGAACAATAGCCACAGAGAAAGGTTCAAGGTTTGAGAAAGATGCAGGCTCAATCACGGGGTCAAACTTTAGTAAGAGAAGAGATCATTGCAGGAGTACAAAATCACCTCGTTCTGTATCACCAGAATCACAAACTGTCAATTCTTTCATCGAGTATGATTCATTGACTGAATCACCGATTTCAACAGGCCAAATTTCATGTAACTTTGATTACAGCAGAAGGTCTGTGAACCGGAAGCTCTGGAGGAACGAGAATGGGGGAGTTGATGTGTCACTAAAGGATGGTTTATATTCAGAGGTGGGTATGGGTAGTAACGTCTCAAATATGTTTCTTGAGGGTTTTGGGGATGGTGAGCGCCGCAACCAAGGAGATCATTCAGAGTTCTCAGGGTTTGTGCTGGACAGTCCAAGAAATTGTCTCCCACGTAGTGCCACTCCAAGCCCTCAGGTAAAGTGGTAAAACTAATCTTATATATCACACAGACACAGACACAGACACAGACACAGACACAGACACAGACACAGACACAGGCACAGACACAGGCACAGACACAGGCACAGTGAGGTGAGGACCCAGTCCAATAGATGGGGCCCTCTTTTATGCTAAAACTGGTATCAAAATCCCATCAATTTGGGGTATTGGGTGTTGGGTGAATGGCAGCTCAATGATAGTGAATGCTTTCTGATTCTGACCTTTTCAGGTTAAATAGATTATGACTGCATGTAGTCATTGGAGAAAATAGGTAAAAGGAAGTAATGATAGCATACATATGTCAGAGAGTGAACTTTTGTATTGCAAATGAAGACCTCAAGCTAATTAAATATGCTAAACATACTTTTTGGCACAAAATTGTAATTTCAGTGCATGCATCTAATCAGGGCCCATGTTACTAAAAGGTCATTTCTCTAGCGAAAGAATAGCTGATGTTAACTTTTCTTTGTTTATTTACATGTTTCAGAGGCCACGCTCTCAGTTCAACATTGATGATATCTTTACAACGCCAAGGAAGCTCATTCACTCCCTTCAGGATCCAAATAATGTCAACTCTGAATTTGCTGAGAAACAAGCCAGATGGTTCAGAAGCCCAGCCTCTAACCATTTACAGTGGAGCCCAGCAAGCAAATTCAACGGGAAAGAAGTCTTTTATGAATTAAATGGTAATGTTGGAGGCACTGAACAGCCATCTGAAACTAAGGGGAACGTCCAAGTTGGGTCTGAATCGGTGTCATCAACTGGGGATGTTCCTGCTGATGGTGATCAAGTATCCCATGAAGCAGTTCTCAAAGATAAAACTGGACTTGCAGGCAAAAATGTAAAATGGAGAAGTGTAGGACAACTTGTTCTAAATTTGGTCTGTCTCCTCTCCGTTCTTCTTGCAGTTTTCATGTCAGTAATTGGGACTGATAATCAGGAAGGCTGTAATCTTGTTCCGACCTAATTTGTTCAGTTTGTAAACAGAATATTCATTGGATCTTGCGTTCAGAGCTCTATATTATTACCCCCCTTTGTTGTAACTTTGAGTGTTTTCATTTGCTCAATGAAGGTAATTAATATATTGTTCTTAGCATATTCATTTGCTTTGTTTTGCCTAAACATTTTTAGTATGATTTTGATATCTGAATTGTGTACATATTGCTCACTCCTTTCATCTTCAAGCCCCTCAATTGTTGGTTTTTATAACAGTAGAAGCATCTACACATGTTTGCTGCACCATTCATGGTATGAGCCATGAATGAATATGTCAAATTCATCAGACCCATTTCTCTCTAGTCCTTACTACAAGTCTACAACCGAGTTTCTTTTGCCCTGTGCAATTTATATATCTATATATTAAGTATGTTTGTATGTGTTTGGAACCATGGGTGTTTTGAACTGTTTATTGACACGTAGGTGCCATTAGGCACTTCATCAATAAAACATTGAATAAATGCCTACCTGTTGGGGGAAGTGCTAAAATGAAGCTTTCCCCAACAATAGGCATGGACATAAATCAAGCTTGCTTTTACAAGTCTCTATGTGTACATGTGTACAGGTCTACATAATGGGGGAAATGTTGAAGTGGTGACGTTTTGATAAACATCTATGATCTATCACAAAACATCTAGGGAACAAAATGCATGCTAAAATGGGATGTGCTAAGTTGACACTTTCCTTATTTCTGGTTGTTTTTGAAAGGCACTTACCTTTTTTCTATTTTTTTTGAAAATTTCTAATTTTAAAATTGAAAATAACTCAAGCGGCCAATCGCCTTTAAGATAGTTATCTCTCCTCATTAACTCCCCATTAACTCTCTCTCTTCTTTTTATTAACTCTTTTAATTATATCTTATAATTGATTATGACATAAACTCTCTTTAAATAACTATTCTCTATTCTATACATTATTTCATTAAATTCATTAACTTTATATCTACATCCATTTTAATTTAAGGGTAAATTGGTAAAACCTCCCCTAAATTTTTTGGTTGTTGCTGAAACCACTCCTAAAGTTTGGTAATTGCAATCACCTCCCCTAAACTTTTTAACATAGTTGCAAGTATATTCCCTTCCTTTGAATCCTCTAAAAAGATGTATGAAAATGTCTAAAATACCTATGCAATTGCTTTTGACCAATATGTTTATTTTCCAAATTTTTTCCTCTTATAAATGATTATCGAAACCCTTCCTAGCTTCAATAATAATTGTATGGGTGTTTTGGACATTTCATGCCTTTGTTAGAAGATTATAGGCTGTTCATGGGTCTGGTTGGGTCGGTTTATTGGTGTTTTCCCAACTGACCCGACCTAGTTGGTTTACTTAGAAATGAAATTGAAACTGACCCTGTACTAAGTAAAACCGACCTGGTTAGTTTGAGTCGGTTTGGATTGGTTTTGTGAATGATTCTCTTGGTGTGAACGGTAAAGGATTCAAGTCTAAGAAGCGAAGGTTGGATTCTTGGAAATTAAAAATGATTTAATGGATTAAAGCTGAAATTTTATATATAATATGTATATTTTCACAAAAATATATTTGAAATATATATTAAAACTGAAATATGTCTGATATATATATATATATATCTGAAATATATTATATATATAATATATATCTAAGTCGGTTCGGTTTCGGTTTTCACGAGCCATCGGTTTATGTTTTTTTGTAACTCGAAATTGATCAGTGCTGAAGAAAAACTGGCCGACTTGGGTTGGTCGGTTTGGGTCTTGTTATGAACAACCCTAGAAGATTATAGTAGAAGGAGTCTACTTGCATTTATGTCAAAAAGTTCAAGGGAGGTGATTGAAATTACCAAACTTTATAGGAGGTTTCAGCAATTTACCCTTAATTTAATTATAATTTTAGATACATTAGATATATTTTCATTATATTATAATTATTAAAAAAATTAATTATATTAAAATAGAGATATTCAATGATTAATTATATTAATTTTAGATACATTATCCATAACTACATTTATGTGTGTGTATATAATATTTTTAATTTGTACATTTTATTTTAATTTTTAAATTTTTATAAATAAAAGCCCAAAATTGAATTTTAAGGCCAGAAATTGAGTTTTTTTTTTTTTGTATAAAGATTGCGAAGCATTACTCAAAATAAAAAAAAAATCACCCCCAATTGGATAACCAAGCATAAACTTAACTCCATAGAAGTTCTCAATACCTTGTACATTATAACTTGTGACCCAATGACTAGATCAAAAAGGGTTAGTGGTTCAAATTCAATTGCCCATATTGAATAGGTTTTCACCAAATCAATGGTTTTTGACAAAATGGTGGGTTTTAGGAAAACTAAAATTATAAATAGCCGTAGGTCATGATTTGAATGGTTTAATTGTCTAAGTCAGTGACATGTTGAAAACATTGAATAAAATATCATAAAAACTATAATTAATTTATATTTCATTTAAAAATAATAAAAACTAATTAACCATAGTAAAAAATAATTTATTAAATTACTTATATAAAAAATTATTAATTGTTGTTATTGATAAAAATATTTTTATAATATAATAAAAATAAAGTAATTAATAAAAACTAATATCAATTTAAAATTAATTTAAAGCTAACACAAAATTATCTAACAATTATTAGTATAACTAATTTCTACTAAACTAAAACCAACTTAAATTCCACTAAAAAATAAAATCTTAATATAATTAATTAATGTTAGTAAGGATTAATAAAAACAAAAAATAATAAAATTTTATTAATTTTGAATATTGTTTAGTTAATTTATAATCTATTTAAAATCCATTTAAAAATAGAAAAAAATCCAAAAACCTTGACTTTCTAACAATCTTATGAACATTCCCTGTGTTTTGACCTTAACAAAAACCCCCCTATTGTTTTGAAAAAAAGTGCAAAAACTCCTTCCTAAAACTCCGTCAACACTCCAAATTCCAAATGGAAAGTGTTTATGTAATTGGAAATGTCATAAAACTCCTTCCTAAAATTTTTGAATAAAGCACGTGCATCGCACATGTCGAGACTAGTAAGAAAGAAAAGCGAAAAAAGCTGTTTGATAAAACAAAGGCCGGGATGATTACAGTTACAGAGTACACATCAAGTTGCAACACCATCAAATATTGTATATGCTTCGATTTATAATTTACACAATTCAAGTTATTGACAAAAAATAAAAAAAGAAAAAGAGAATATCTTAGACAAGCAATAAAAATTGTTAAAAAGAGGGTGAAAGGAGGTTATCAAGGACATTTCCATTCTTTTCCTTTTAATACATCCAAAACTTTTGTTTCATTGAAAGTTACCAAAAAACTCATGTTGGTATATAATCCTCATCCATACCTGCACTTCTCAATCAATACCCACTTTTGTCTTTCCAACTGCATGTTTTTGCATATAGAGTGGAACTGATCTCCATTGCATTTAATCCAACATTCTTACCCAAGGTTTTAGGTAAAAGCATTCAGCAAATTTTGCAATACCATATTGATCTAACCACCAAAACAACAAAAAAAAGGAGAGTATGCCCAAACACCACCAATTTTCGAGTCTAACCCGCCAATGGGAGAAGGGCACGTTGACCAGGCCAACGTTAATGCGCTCTGCTTGGTTCACTCGGACGGTTGATGCAGACATGAACCAATTCGTGCGGACACGAACTGATCTGGAATACAGACAAAAGGGCTTCTGCGGTTCATCCACGGTGACAAGGAGACCTCTCGCGGCGACGTGTTCTTCTTCTCCTCTTCTCTTCTTCTTCTTCAACAAGTAGCTCCAATGGTAGGGCCGATGGCCATTCTTCTTCTTCTCCGGTATGACCGTTCCTTTCTATTCCATGTTATTTTTTTCTCTTAATATTCCAAGCAATGAATATTAAGAGTGCTAAACCCCACTCTTTTTGAAATGCACAATGATCCTTAAAGATTCGTCAGGTTCTTCATCTCTTCAATCTTTTGTCCATCCCCAGTTCCTCCAAATAAGGGTGGCCATGAGTCGAGCTCTTTATGAGCTATTCGAGCTCAGTTTGGCTCGGTTTCAATCGAGTTTTAGTCCAATTTATAGGCTCGATTAGTAAACGAGCCGAGCTCGAATATTATAATAATAATAATAGTATATATAATTATAGAAAATTATATATATAATAAAAATATTATAATTCTTAATTTTTTAAATATCAAATAAAAAATATTTTTTATATATAATTTTTTATTTTTATAATATATTTTTTCTCATATCGAGCTCAAACTTATGAATTTTTGACTCGAGCCGAGCTCAAGCTCAATGTTCTATCTCGAACAAAGCTCGAGCCTTGTACAAACTTGGCGAGCCGAACTGGAGCCTCATACTACTATTTGATTCAACTCGGCTCGAGTCCACCCCTACCCACAAAGAAGAGTGAGAAAGCGTCTCCGAGCTAGATAATTCTTCATGCTTGGTAAGTAAGTAATGCTTCCACAATTTTTGAGCTTCAATCTATGTAATTTGGGAAGTTTAGAAATTGTTTTGCAGAGTTTCTTGATAGGAGTTTCTGAACCGTGTACCCAGAGAGTAAGGAATCCGATGAATATTGTTATGATGACCACCACATTGCTGTAGGATTGTTCTTATTCTCTCGCAGGAACTGAACTCCTCAAGAGCTTTTGCCGAATGTACTTTTGCAAAGTATTGACAAATGGCGTACACTTAATCAATGACAAGCCTGTTCGAAGAGTCTGAATCTTCAATTTTCAAACATTTCTAACTAAAGAGCCAGTGCGCAAAATCATGGATTAGATCATGCATTCGATAAAGTGAGTTTTTATTTGAAGCACCTGTTGTTAGAGGAAGGGAATCCAAACACACCACAACATCACATTAGCATCTCATACTACTAGCATGGGATAAATTGATTGTAACATTACACCATGCTCTGCAGTCCCGGCGCTCGTGCAAGCTGGCTTTGCACTAGTCCACCAAGTCCCGGCCAAACACTGCAATACCGATGTTACCACTTGCGCCGCATAAATGCAATTAGAAGGCATAGTGTAGGCTCTGATACTATTTGTTATGTGCTTTAAGAGAATTCATGCCTAAAAGCTAGCTGTTAGAGGGAGGGAACCCAAATGCATATATACCCCACAACAACATCCCATACTACCGATG